TCTAGGCCGAGCTTGTCTATGCTGTTTACTAATATTATAAATTGGAAACATTTGTTTGTTTGTTGCATAACTCCATCAGAGGTTTTAATACTTTTATTGGGATTTAGCATCTGTTAATCAGTAATGTCAATGACCATTTAAGAGACCGTAACTTTGTTTTAAATCTGTTAAATTTGCATTGTAAGTGTAATAGTTGCGATATAATTCGGGCTATCTCTGGAATTACACAACCTGAATTATTTTTCACATGTCAACATGAACATGTTGACATGTGAAGACATGTCACATGAACAACACAGTCTTTTAGTGACATACAATCTATAGTCTATCCAAATGAGAATATTTCCTTTAGTCTTTATGGTCATATTCACACAAATTGCAAAAACATTTGACGTTTCCCACACAGCGCTGTGGACTGTTGTTCTGGTTTAAACATACGAGTATATACTGAGAAATGGGCGGTAACTTTAACTCTATCTATTTAGGTATATGATAGGGAGAATTTCACCTATCTCAGATCGCACTCCGTGCAAAGCCGGGGCGGGAGAGCTAGCGTGAAATATCGCCGTAACCGGACACCACTCGGTTTGTGTAGGCTGTGCAGGTCGAAAGTACCGACGCCACGTCGTTTATTTGCCTCGGTCATTGTTTATTGCGACGGTGCTTTCACGCGCGTTCGCCCGCGGTTTCAATAATAACCTTATAAATTAGTGGACCGGTAGCCCGGTGGATGGAGATGTCCACTTGCAGTCTTCGTGCGCGGGTTCTAATTGGCACTCCGCTCTTGGAAACTCTCTCTCAATTTAAAAAAATAATGTTTAAAATATAATTTCAAGCCGTGTGATGTTTTTTTTTTTTTCCGAAAACAGTTAAGATTGTTGCGGGATTATTTGTAGAACTATACTGGGAAAAATTCAACTGCATGTGATTCTTTTAAGATTCAATTGTTTAAATATGAACATTTATACTTAATGCAGGTAAATTCGCAAAGAATTTTCTCAATAAGCCTTTTATTTAAAGATTTTGATTAACATAGCAACTTTACCAGCAACGTTTATAAGGAAAAACATCTTTTGATATATAATAAGCAGAAGTCATTGATTACTGAATAAAATATAATGTAGTACGCTGACTCCACAAAATTCTAACATTAAAAAAATTATAGTATTTTATATACAATTTGGAATTAATTACGATGTAATGTAATGATTATATACGGAAATTTGAATTAAATGAAATTATATTTTGTATTATTGCCATTTAATTTGATAAATCTTTATATTTTTTACTCGTAGTTCTTATGTCATTTGTTAAATTATAAATAAAAAGTAACATTAAAATGCATGTATTTACTAAAAGAACAGCCATAGCATTTATTTATACCGCCGTTTTACCACATTTCTTAAAATTGTATTTTAACTTTGTTTTACAGCAAAACAAAACAATATCAATAATCTCATTTGAATTAAGCAAGAACTTATCTTGCTTAATACTTGCAACGTACTGTCATTAGCTATATATATATATAGCTATCAAGTTTTTTCATAATTTTCTATATTTAATAAGAAATGTAAATTTGACTCAGTTCACACATCTGTTTGAAAACTTTATAATTGTCAATTCGGAAAACTTATCGTTCAACTAAATTTATCTTTTTAATTATTTACAAAGTTAAATAATAGAAAATAAAAGTAACAGTCTATGTATTTCCCACTGCTGGACAAAGACAAGCTCCTTTGTCTGTACAGAGGAGTAAGTCTGTAAGTGTACGTCTGTACTTACGTATTTAGTATATAATCCACCTCGCGACTCCACTTCAGATTGGTGGATTTTACATACATATCTTCGAGACATTATTTGAAATATGTAACTTTCATCACGATACTTTCCTTCAACAGTGAGCACGTGTTAGGTCAGCACTTAAAATTGACACTTTCATTGGTGCCGGCACCTGAATTGGAGGTCCAGATCGCGCGTGTTTATTGTATTTAAAGCGAGCGCTCGGGCACTAGCTATCAAGGCTTAAAAATATTAGCCTAAAATAATTATCGCTAATATGTCAGTGCTTCCGTGCGATTTTACTACGACGACAAATGTACTTCATTTGTGCTACATATATCTATGCTGGCACTTGACATATTACATATTATGAGGCAAAACGGACAGGTATCGGCGGAAGCCTAGTTCGAAATGTTTTTCAATATTTATCAGGCAAAACGTTATGATTTAAAAAAATAGATATTATCCATAAACGTCCCACGTGTCTTCAAGATTTCTTTGCATGTTCTTAATCAATTTTGCTCGATTAGAGTGAATTTTGATGGGGTTTTAACGAATTATTGTCGAAATGCAAATAATAAGTCTGCTACTTATAGTTTGACAACACTTGGGGGGTTTAGTAACTCATCGCCGCTCGGGTATCATTAAATTTGGACGTTGATCCCTCTCGGCGGGGAGCTTAGGGCCAAACAAACAAAATTATACATGTTTTTAATTTTGTTTGTTTAATCAAATAAGCGTGGAAATATTTTAACGATAAACATTCCAAGGGTACTTACTGTGATTGTTCCTACATTTCATTTTAACGGGTTTGTTATTTAATTTTTTTTTTAAATTAACGTCACACTTTCATTCCGGTTAATTAGATTCTATCGAATATTTCATTTTTATGCTAACTTCATAGCAACGATAAAATTTTTAATTTGACGCTATTCTGACATGTTAACAAAAAAAATGTAATGATTATTGAAAAATTATAATTTTTAAAATTCGATTTATACGCTAAAGACAGATATTAAATAAATATTACTTTAATGAGGCGAAATATACAACATAATTATATTTACAAAAATACACTATTCACCAAAAAAAAACAGGCATGAATTTCTCAAATTTATCAGTTTGCCCTATAATATAATATGCATAATATTATAAACCTCAGTTATTTTTAGCAAGAAACTGGTACATTGTCCGGTCATTTCGAGATTGTTTCTAAATGTTTTGCTCTATTTTTTTCCACCTACACTCGGCGAGAGTTGTTCCTCGGCACGAATAGGAGTCGTTGCGATGGGTCTTTGGCCTCTGTCGGACCATATCGTCGTGTGAATCATAACATTAGCATAGTTATTTCGCCTTAGCAGCGATGGTCAAATATCGCTTTTATCGGCCGAGATCGGCACGACCGTATGGAACTTGAAACTAAAATAGTGTCATATGCAATTTGTCTCTTACGAAGTACTCGTTTACGTATCGTTTACGGTCAAACGTTTCTAAACATAGATGTTACTATATAATTTAAATTTTGCACCAAATTCAAACAAAACTATTTTAAATTTGAAACGTTTCAAACAATTCGTATTAGTCTTAATGGTACAATGTCGTGATTTTCTAAGCGTACGCCTATATTAGGGTTCCCAAAGGGTAAAACGGGACCCGAATGGGCGGTTTTTTTTACTCTTGTCAAATAGCTATATCTGTTTGTGCTCTAATTTTCTACTGCATAGATGTTGTGGATGTAAATGAACGTACTGAACTGGAAAAGAAAGAACTCTTGGAAGGAACAGAAAAATGAACAATATAAATTCTGCTGTCTTATCATTTTTACGTTCCCTCGTCTCTTCTTAATGCGTTAAGTTATTGCGTTTTCTTTTATATGCGAGTTGAATTATATTTTTAATTTTGCATCACCAATAGTTTACCTTATAAAGTCGAATAGGCACTTAGTATCAGGTGGGGTAGTTAGACCATAGTTTATGTCAGTTCCTCCGACTCCCGTCCCGCTTACGTGTATGACCTATTTCCTATTTGAATGACATTTCCATTAATGAATACTCCATCTATTTTATGAGTGTTTCCTTTCGGTTTTTGTACTATCAGGACTGTTGATCCAATTCATTTGGATAAAGTTACGAGCTCTGCTAGTTGATATTCAGAATGGTTTTCAGTGCTTCGTACCAAAAGACCATTAAAACATAAAATAGTCTTGATTGCTTCTTATTGTAAATTAATATTTTGTTTTAATTGTAGCTAATTTTATGCAATCGTTATGATTGTTTCGTATTATCGAATAATAATTCGGAAGTTTTCTTGGAAGTCACCAAGTGAATGTATAAGAATATTTCCAGAAGGATATCGTATTTTTATTGAATAACTTATTCGCTTTTAGCACCCATTGTCATTTTATTGAGGTACTGTTAATGTAATGATACGATATTGAATAAAACACAAAATCCCACTCAGAAAAACGAGGAGGGAAATATATTGGCCGGTTAGCAAATTCACTCATTGCTTGCGGTATTCTCTCGGGTACAATGATCTTCAATTAAATGTCACAAAGGCCATAAACGACCCGTGGTGTGTCTTGTAAATTCAAACACAAAAGGAGACCAATAAAACGAATGACTAACTGACTAACTTCAGACTCGGTGAGTAATAAAATGCAGTGACATATGCACATATGTATGAAGACGCTAAAAAGCATTTGCTCAATTTAAAATAATCACACGTAAAACTATAACACCCTATTAGGTCAACATTTCACATTCGGGCAAATCAAATCGTAAATCAAAGATTCGGATGGTTTTAAATCTGTTTATTATAATATAGATAATAGGCCTACTTTAAAATGTCTCAGTCAAATAAATACACGATATTTTTATTTTCAACTCTTTCAATCTTTCCGAAATAATTAAATATCACTAAAATTGTACAACAATTAAAATTATTTACATTATATCACAAATAATATCCGAAGTGGGAGCATCCCTAACTGAATAGTCATCACTTCTACTTACAGTCAGTTCCGTAGGAATTTCCGATTGCACGCGCGCGCGGCGCCGCACCGCCGCACGCTTTCAACACCACATACTCCCTAATTGGAATCGAACCCGCGGCTACGACTACTAAAAAATGACTCGAGGGGCGTGTATAATATAACTCGGTTAACCACTAGTTCACTCACTTCACTTATGACTAACATTAGGAATAGGGCATCGGGCTTAAAGCTTCTCGAACGCCCTGGAATTCGTGAGCATCTCCCGTGTCAGGCGCCACACCTGCTTGGCGGCGTTCTCCAGCGCCGTCGGCGACTTGCCCTTGAACAGGTCCACGTGCGGCAGGAAGTAGTGGGGGCACCTGCGGCACTGCAGCGACGAGATTAGCTGCAGGAAGATCCCGTTGATCCTGTCGCCTATAGCCGCCTCGTCCCATTCGTGCTCCCTCGGGTGCTTCTCGCACTCGTATAGCAGCAGCGTCTTCATATGGTAGCACGTGACCGGGTTCCCGGGCAGGTCTAAGTGGCGGTCCCTGATCGTCTTCAGTATGCTGAGGCACTTGCGCCGGCAGCCGCCTTGCAGCAGGCGGTTCTCTGCCTCGAAGAAGCTGAGCACCCACGCGTCGCCCTCCATCGCGGAGTTCTTGCCCTGCAGGGCGAGGCACTCCTTGGATAGAAGGTCGAATCCCTCCGTCTTCACTTCCGCAACGATATTCGGATGCGGCCACGGGATCGCCGGTAGAGGCCAGTGCGCCGCCGAACGAGGCCAGAGGCCGGCGCACTTGAACGCAGGCGTTATCTGCACTATGTACCTCTCGCGTATCCTCAGTTTCACTTCGGTCGTCTCCGCGATCATCTTGACGCAGTCTCGATACGAGCACTTGTCGCACGCCTGCGCCACGAGCGTCTGGAAGCGCGACCTGATCTTCCTGGCGGACAGGTAGCCGGAGGCGGTGATGAACTCCACCCAGAGGGACATGGAGCGCTTCCTGCCGTCGCTCAGCTTGAGCACGGCGCATCCGGGCAGCGAGCCGTCGTCGACGAAGTTCAGGACGCCCATCTGGTTCAGGTAGATGACGATCTCGAACTCGTGCGGCGAGACGACCTCCAGGCCGTCGAAGCGGCCGTTGTAGTCTGTGAGCGAGGAGATGAACCGGGGCTCCTGGAGCTCGACCTCCTTGAGGACATCCTGAACGATCCTGCACACCTCGTGTATGGTCTTCGCGATCTGCGCCTTGCGGTTGGCGACCCGCTCGTTGTAGTACTTGTTCATCTGGTAGACGAGCTTCGATTGGGCCGCCATCATTTCGGGTGGCACGAGCATCGTGGCTGTGTCGGCTCACGGGCTGCGCATCGTACGCCGGTGTACGCACGCGCACGGCACGCTGTCTCTCGGTGACTGAGCGACTCGTCGTCCGGCGCCCCCTGAGCGGCGCCCGCCCCCCGGGGGAGGGCCCGGCGAATGGCAGAGGCGCCACCTCTCCATTGCTCCCGTGCGGTTCGCACGTTAGCACGAGCGAGACGGCGCTCGGGGCTCGGCGGGCGCGCGTTCGCGTATCGATCGCGCGGCGACTCCGCCCCACGGAGGTAGGTATGGGCCGCGCCGAGCTGTAATCACACACGAGAGCCGGGCCCGTCGTTAATTCGGTAGCGGGTAACAAGCCTTACTCTATTAACGGCGACATTCTTCTCTCCCCCCGTCGGCCCTCCGTCGTCCGGTAATTGCGTTGACTAATTCAATAGCAGTTTATGGCATGTCATAACTTGTCATCCGATCAGGTGAGCGCCGGCCATTCGGCTCGGCCTTTTACATTTCGAATCGCCTTCCGTATGGTACTTTTTTATCTCGCATCGCCGAGTTTTATCGCTACGATATTTATAAAGCGTGCACTGATTGAAACATTCGTGTTTTATAGCAACGTATGTATATTTTATTAAGTCTCGTTGGATGAACGTATAAAAATTGGATAAAAATTGATATAAGTTACAATTTCCGTCAATTGCTGGGCTTTATTTTTGCGTTTTATGCGTACACTGTAAGGTAAACTTGTTATAACGGAAATGTCTTTATTTGAATGTACTTGCCCGCATTTCAAAAAGATATGTCCTGATATCTTTATGAAAATAATTTGATGCTCTTGTAGAGGTTACAAAAAATTTTTTAAAGATCTGAAGTATACTTTTTTAATTTAAAATGATTACTTTTAAATATTTCAGGTGTTTCTTTAACATAATAAACTTGAAAAAAGTCACTTAGTATTAATCATGACTAATACGTATAGTAATACAGTAAATAATTAATAGTAACCAAGTGACACCTGTCTCATATTGGGTTTAACCAAGGATTTTTACACCATTATTTAAACATAGTATAAAACCACATGCTTCATAGCAAGATTTAAATCCTATAAGAATCATTTACAATAAATTAACAACACATTATTGTTTAAAAACATAAAAAGTACATAAACAACCAAGTAATCGTTATAGAAAATTTTGTATTTTAATCATACTGATTTAAGCCTATATTTTAGCTACTTCAGAGCTCTCGGTTCGAATCTATATTGTATTTTTGAAACAGAAAATGTCTTCGTACCTTCTGTGGGTGAATTTCTCGAAAGACAAAAGTTGGGGAAATTATTTGATGACTATACTGTTGACAGAAAGTGACCAGACAAATGTAGCGTCAAAAGGAACATTTAAAACGGATTATAAATGTCAAATATTCACTGAACCTAATGACACAATAAACATTAAAGCCACACACACCAATAAATCTATATGCTTTCTGCGAAATTTCAGTATTATGGCACATTTCACGCGCTATGATATACGACAAAAGAGACGTCAAAACTTTTATCATTTTCTATTCGGCCATCTATAATTAGAAAGCTGACACAAGGTTACTGTCCAACATCACACGCGCTCGAGCTTTGGTAGAATAGTTAAATTCTTTGACACTAGTGATGGGAGTATATTTTAAGTGTTAGTTACAATTTTAGGGCAGAAATATTCTCGATCGTTATTGGAGGCCAACACTACACAATATCTTAAAATTATGTATATGATACGAATATTGCTTGAATTGTGTATTCGGATGTGAATATGAAGTAATTGAATAAAACTTTCTGCCTTTCAACAAGAGAGGTTCTTTTTCTTTTCATTTTATACCTAATTAGGGACGTGAGAGTTAACCGACTGATAATATTATATTGGTAAAAGTAGTCATTATGGATATCATAATGACTACTTTTACCAATATCTGTCATTAAAACAATATAACAACTGACTCAGGCAAGCCTTCTCCTCAGGCTTTTCTACAATAAAATATTTTTTTTGTCACTCCCACTATTCTTAATTTAAATTTAATGAAAATTATTTTTTTAATTTTTAGTTTGGGATTCTACAAATGTGTGTTTTAATTTTATTTTTTAATTTTTATCTAGATTAAATCTCAAAACAGCACTTTCCTATACATTTATAGCGGTAAGGTCTATTAGGATCTTAAAATTCGCTGACGGGTGCAAATAAAAGTTCAAATATACCAATAATTTCTCTGTTTGCGGTCTTCGGCAAATTATATTTAAGATACGCATCATGTTGGTGACATCCTTCATTTTTGTGTCATTTACTAGTTAGATATAAAATTTTTCCCTACCCTATAAGTAATTAAATATCACAAATCGTACTGTATGTACTAAGCCATCATGATTTAAAGACAAGTAGTTAATCATACCTTATCGCCATTACCGGCCAAATCGTACCGCATATTAATTCCAACGGCCACATGCGCTCCTGGTACCTAATCCGCGCATCACTCGTCGCTATTTCGGTGCAACGCGATTGATAGCGGGACGCCGCTTGATGGATGGAGCGACGCGTCCTGATTTATGTACGCCTGTCACGGCGCGATTCATGGGCGCCTGGTACACCTAAACGGGAGAGGCGGCTGTTTGTATGGAATCGATCGAAAGGACCGGCGTAGTTTTAATTAATTTACTTATCTACATGCTTGCATTTAACGATATTATGTTTACTATGTCTTAATTAATTTGTCCATTAAAACAATAATAATTATGTTCATTATATTTTTGTGACTAAAAAATTTAATGTCAATTTCGTATTAAAAAAAAGTTTGTACTATAAAGTACTGTTAATTCTATCGATCAATATGTAGATAGTAAAATGGTAATTTCTTATCCACTGATACAAAAATCATATAGTTAGAATATACAATATTGAGAATTTAATAACTGCTTTATGTTCAAGTAAATCTTATAATGACTCTACCTTTTTCTTCGTGTCTTTACTTAAAACTATCGTTTAGGAACTTAAAGTTTTAAGCTCAAAAGCTACTAGCCGGAAATAAAATTATAATATGCTAAAATAAACTTGTAATAGTGGTAAATTTAAGAGAACATGAACACACGTAGTATGTAATTGGAGATGGGTCGAAGAGGCATTTTACATATTTTATGTTTGAAATCCGGCTAGTTTTACAACCGCGTACAAGTTAATAAACGTTGTAAACTTTTACGATTACAAGACGACGGTACCTCGTGATGTCAGAAGTTTACGTTAATTACTAACAGTACGTTTTAGAATGGCTCTCGTATTCAGGCGTTCGCTAATTAATAATCGTAATTGTATTCAGTTCGGAATTTCAATCGAATAGAATCGTATAAGTGTCAATGTCCAAATAAATTAGAACATTGCGACCAAAACTAATGTTTTTAAACCCCCTTATCATTGATAGAGACAGCATTGTGATATTTTTTTTTGAGGTAAAATATATGTCCTCTTTGTTTTGTTACTAGAAGAAATATTCTTTGTACTAGTAACATGTTAAAAAGAATTTGTATTAAGTTAATAATATTGTTCTTTTTAAATAAGAATAACATTCTAAGCAGACTTTTTATTAATAAACGTATAAAGAAACATGCGATAAAGTATTATCTTTATTCGCATCTATATTCCCTGTGTCATGAGCAACATAAAATAACTGTTTTTATATATTTATATATATTTACATGTATACGTTAGCGAAACCTCGATATTCCTTAGTCGTGCCATAACGTAGCGTACTAAAAGTCCTCGTCGCAATCTACAAGCGTTGTAAAGCCCGTACAATATTACATCCGCAGCAACCCGCGTCCCCTTTTCCCCGGAGACGCGTAACTCTACGTACTCTATATTGTACGCGTATATTTTCTCCCCTTTTTTAAAACAAAAAAGCTGGCCGCCGGGTCTCTACCTCATCCCCTGTAGAGGCGAAGCGCAGGCGCGAAGCCCGCAAAATGGCGGCTCCCCAAACACGCCCACTTCCGCCGGACGTCCGCGGGTAGGCAAGTGGTCGGGCACAGCCTACCCCCTGCGCACTCTATGAATAAATTACAACTTTACCGGCACCATTTGGGATTACTTTCTCCCTTTTTGATATTCTTTGCGAGGAAAAATTGTAGATTCTTGTTTGGTGTTTGTCGTGAGTTTAGAAAATGTATGTACGAGTATTGATTTTTTTTAGCTTTTTACAACAATGTGTCAAATGCTAGACAATATCTTTAATGATTGATTAAAAAGTCCGGTTCAAATTTATCTTTACACAAAGGTAGGTCATTTTTACAAGGGGGAAAACAACCATCATCGTCCGCTCACAAGCAGGTATTCCTTCCAATCTTAAAATATTCTTGTTGAGCAATCATCGATCTTCAGTTCGCAGATTCTTCGCAAGGAACACTGTACCCCAGCCACCTATGGCTTTATCACGAGCTATGACATTGATAAGCACTGTCATTGTTGGCACGTAACAAATCCATCAACTCACGCCCACTGCCAACGCTACGGAATAGCACCGATGGGACGTATAGACAAACACTAATACTACATACGAGAACTTCTAAATGCTTAAACTTTCTAAACGATTGAGCGATGACACATTGATGAATTGTCTTCGCATTAGTAAAGATGTGCTGAAATAGTGAATGCTTATAAGAAACTGAGTGTTGCAGTTTTATTCGTGTCAAATTAAGATCGTGGACATTTGGTTATTGTTTGAAAATGTTATAAATACTTACTAAAAATAACTTAAAAAAAGCCTTAAGTGTTACAAACAGATATCGTACCTGAAAAAAACCGCCAAAACTATCGCTCGAACAAATATTTCTTCGCTTCAGACTTTATCGCCATTCGTATTAAACATTTGATTTATTGTGGACATTTTCTAAGCAAAAGTAAACAATTTTGTGACCTGCTAAATAGCTCGTTCAAAGTTATAATTTCTTTATTCAATATAGACTTATTTTAAGCTCTTATTGAAAGTCAAAAAAACTACCACCGGTTCACTAAACCGGTGGTAGTTTTTTTGACTTGTCTGAGAAGAACCGGCAAGAAACCCTGGGGTCTTATCTTTCTTTTTGTATATACACAAAGGTCCAAATTAAATATAGCTTTAATATAAAATTCCAATTTAAATATAAAATTAGCAGGAGCCAGGGGACTTGGAAAGTGTAGAACAAGAGTCATTTCCACACATAATTTACACTTTTTTTACACATTATTTTATTTTATTTACACTTGTTTGTCACCTGGTTGAAAGCATATTCACTGAGAACCTGGCAGGTCAAAAGGCGGTTAAATATCGTAAAGGTTTACACTACAATATCAGCTAATTAAGCTTTGTCTAATGGGTAATCATTGGTTAATTATTGGGTGGTTAGCCTAATTGGTCGAATATATTTTTTTCGATCAAAAATGGAATGCGGCTAAGTCAACATAACTGCAACTCCTATCACTACATCCAAAATAACCATAGTTTATACTTCGAATGTGGTGATTAATTTTAATGAACCACTCTTTTCTACAACACGATTTCTACAGAGTCAATTACACCGTAGGTATAAATCGAAGGTAATGAATGATCCACGAAAAGACATCTGCAATTTATCGTTGCAATTACACATTTAAAACAGCGTTCACTAATGGATGACATCATCAGAGACTTCAATTAATATTTCATCATCATTACAGCTTGCTAGAGTGAGCGATCTTGAACCACCTGCTGGTAGGGCCACGCAACAGTGTTCGCTGTTGCACAAATGGGCAGGTCCGTCCGGGTTAGTACCACGACCTCACAGTAGACCGGCGTAAAGTAGAAGCGGTGAACTGCGTTTCGTCTGGTGAGTGAGGTAGCCGGGGCCCACATTATTAAGAGGTGGCAACGCATCTGCAACCCTACGGGTGTTGCAAATGTCCATGGGCAGGCGGTTATCACTTAACATCAGGTGGACCGGCAGCTCGTTTGCCTCTTTCTCACATAAAAAAAAATCCATCGATTTCACGATTACGATTTACGCTCATTTCTACAAATGAGCATTTAAGTAAGAATAATTTCTTACATATTTGATTTTCAGTCCATTCAAAACTTATCAATACTACTCTTGTTTAATAAAAAAATTATCTTTTCACGTCCTGGCGAATTCCAATCGATCCTATTTTAAATACTCGCGGCGCGCCTTTAGAATTTTAAGAATCGCTTTGTTCGCCATTCAGTCCAATGCCGAGCATTAAATAGTTTGAACAACGTATATATGCACATAAGGATAAGGCACGTAACAATCGCAGCGCATATACAATGGTCTCGTAATGCCTTTGGTCTCGTCTAAACAACGAACAAGCGTTAAACCGCGCGACGTATCGAATAAACCGCCTTATTGATCACTTACCGAAACATCGATTCTGAATTATCGTATACTCGATTGGTATTCAAGAGATGGTGTTGCGGTTAGTGACCAGTTACGAAGCCTAGGCACGCGAATTCGATATCTAATGCAATACGGAACGAAATTAATGGCACTTTTTCAAGAAATTGGATTTATATGTTACGCCTAAAAGTTTCAGGAGGAAATTGAGAATCGTTTAATTAAAGAAGTGATTGAAATTAACGGTGCATTATTGTACGTAAACTTTTTTGTAGTATACGGAGTTATCGATGTATTGTTTTATTTTGCCGGTGAAGGAAAACATCGTGTTTCTCACAAACGTGATGTACCCATTTCCAAAAAATTTTACCCCATCTCAAGAGTTCTATGTAAAGCTAGGACTCTATCGGTTAAATAGACGTTCAACATATTCAACATACATGATTTGTCTGAATTGATTTAAAAAAAAGCTATGTTAAAATGTAACTAATTACAAATTACCATAATTTAATCAATTTATTACTTTTATAACTACTATAAATCTCCACATATGTAATGCACAGTCCCCCTTTACAATTCATGGAACAATAGTTCATTACTTTATGTGTGGAATCCCTAACTAAACATTTTACTATATCTAACGAGGCATCAAACGTAAAAACATATCGGCAAAGACCCGAAGCTCACATAGAGCAAATCACATAAATTTCTATGCAACATTAATTGATCGCGCCACATGTCATCTCAAACGACAATCGGAATTGGAACGTAACAAACTCTATTATTACGCTCGTTAACATAATTAGAATCGTAACACGTGTGTAAACACGGTGTCTTCGAACGCGGAGCTACTTAATGTCCACTAATGTCTGCCGAATTCGCCATCGCGTACGAACGCGCGCCGAATCGACATCCGTCTTCCCCCACTGCGGGCGATCGAATGACAACCGTCCCACCTTCTCTGTCGCATCGTGGTAGGGGGAAGCCCCGCCTTATAAGCAATCGCGCAAGTCGACACGGCGCATGGCATCACGAAGCGCCGATCGAATTTGCGTCGTCTTCCAACGCCTTA